GGGGTTGAGGCCAGTCCAGACTGCAGAGTGAGTTCAAGCCAACCTGAACTCAGTGAGATTCTGTTAAGAAAGAAAGAAAGAAAGAAAGAAAGAAAGAAAGAAAGAAAAGAAAAGAAAAGAAAAGAAAAGAAAAGAAAAGAAAAGAAAAGAAAAAGGGGCCAAGCTATACAGGCATCATTGTCACCATTTCAGGCCAGGCATAGCAGCACATGCACGTAACCCCAGCATTCAAAAGGCTGAGGCAAGAGGATCACTAGTTCAAGACCAACCTGTGCTACAAAGTGAGTTCAAGGTGAGTCTGAACTACTTAATAGGACCCTCTCTCAAACAAACAAACAGACAAACCCCACCATTTTGGCTAAGAAGCCCCCATGCACTACAGGCATCACCAGAAAGTTCATCTCCAAGTTCCACTTTGGAGACTTGGACTTGTTGCTCAGAGATGGTCCTGCAGTGCACCCCAAACTCTAGACTTTCTATTTAACTTTCCTCTGTCTGGATCACTGCAGAAAAGGAAGCAGGAGCCTCCTGTGTCAAACCCAATGTTCCATTCGGAAAGAGGCCCTCTTCCTCCAGGTCTTACTGCTTTAAGGAAATTGGTCTTTGGGTTAAAGTTCCAGTTTCTAGTCCCCTCTCACTGTAAATACATGTGTGCACATACAGAGAGAGGAATGGATGAGTGGGAAAATGAATCATGCATTCCTCTCTTCAGAAGAATGATTTTCAAAGTATGAACTAAACCCACATCATCTCCCTAGAGTCATTCTTCCCAACCTACATACATACACACACGTGCATGCACATGCACACATTCACACCAGCCTTGTAGAATCAGTCTGGAACCTGAATTTGTTCTTCTGCCCACTCTGCTGCCCACTAGACTTTGCCCACCTCTACCATGGCTGAGGACCTAGAGCAGCCCCAGAGCTCAGGAAAGCAGCAGCCAGACCAGGCACTGGAGGGCGCCTGTGCACCTAAACTTTGCGGGCCTTTGCCTCCTTGTGGTTTCTGGATGATGCCTTACTGCAACTGAGGCCTTTCTCTGTGTATACAGGAGCAGACATCTCAGCCAGTACCCCAGCCACGCCGGCTTCCTGCGTTCCGGGAGGCGCACTTTCTCAGCCCTTTCTTGCCTTAGGGCCTTTGCCCTTCCTGTTCCCTCTGCCTAGCATGTGTTCCAAGTTCCCATGCGCAGGTCTGGCTCCATGCCTTCCTCCTGGACTCTGCTCAGATGTTACCTTGTCTCTCCTGGACTCTGCTCAGATGTTACCTTGTCTGAAAGACGATCCCCAACCCTGGTCTACAGAGACTGTTTTACACTGAATTTTCCCCTTACACTGAATTTTCCCCTTTATTTATTATACAGTACTTTCATGTTGTCCTGATTCCCTTGCTGGTCTCTAAATAGCTGAGAAGCAGGGTGCCTATTACTGCTACAGAATCAAATCTGGCACCCAGCATAGCAAAGCATTGCAAAGCAGACAGATGGGCTGAAGTGAGGGGTACACTGTATCCAGGCCAAAGTTCTGGGGCCAGTGTGCAGGAGGTCAGGGCGTTAGCATTACATCCCTGGGTGACCAGGGAGACTATGGCAAGCTGGCATTGGGAGCAACATTTCTTAACCTGCTGCAATTTTAAAAACAAGGCAAAATTTCCTTTGCTTTTTGATAAACTTGTTCTAAGGAAAACCACATGTATGATAAAAGGCAATTGTTAATGGTATCACACTGTCTTGATAAGTTTGATGCTATAGTATACGAAGTTAGACTCAAATATTTCAAGGAAAGAGACACTATGGTAACTACTATTAATGTCAGACTACCTGGTGGTGAAACACAATGATGCTTAAATTGTTCGGTTCTGACTCTGTGTTGTTCTATTAATATGTTCTTTTTTATCTCAATCCCCCCCCTTTTTTCTTTTTGTAAAAATTAATTTATTTCTTAGTATCTTTTAATTAAGGGAAAACTAAATTAAAAATAACAGGATATATTATAGTAACTTTTTTGTTTTCCTATTAACCTGATTTGAACCCCAGTATTGTTCTCCACATCCTGTTCTGACTGATTTTATTATATTCTGTTTTGTTTAATAGTATCAAATGTGAGGGTATAGACAACCACTTTGAAGGCAACCAGATATTCTATGATGCCCATTATGGTTTGACTATTATCTTCTTTGGAAGTCCTGTAAGGTCTCCAATGTGGGTTTTATTGGTCTTGTTCTGTACTGTTTTGTTCAATTCTTTTATACCAGCTGATATAGGCAACTCTTTTTAGGATAACAAGAGGCATAATGGTAATCATTGTTGATCACCTAGTAATCTCTTTTTGCACTATATACTATGTCCATCCTCCTGTTCTAACTGACTCTGTTTTGCTTTGTCACATTGGGGGTTTTCTTGTTCTGTTTTGTTTTTTTCTTTTCCTCTTCAAAGAAAAAGTTATAAGAACTGTGGGAGTGGGGCTGGGGATTTAGCTCAGCGGCATAAGCACCTGCCTTGCAAGCAGGCAGTCGTGAGTTCGATCCCTGGTACCGATAAAAAAACGAAAAAGACAAAAAAAAAAAAAAGATAAAGAACTGTGGGAGTAATGGAACCCAAAATGTGTGATTGTTAGCATAAAAAAGAGAGGAAAGAAAAGGATCTAAAGGATATAACTGCAAGTATATTTAAGTGTGTAGGATAGAAAACCATACTACTGAGTTTTTGTTGGATCATTGAACAGGTCTGCAACCTCACTGCATTAATGTTCACTTTGTATGCTTTAATTTTGTAACCTGGACAGCTGTTTCTGAGATGACAATATGTAATCTATTAATTAGTGAATTCTTACTGTATATTGCTTCTCTTGAAATTCTGTATTATTTGTAGTCTTTTACTGTTTTTTGTTTTGTTTTGTTTTGCTTTTCTCTTTAAATAGAAGAAAAAAATACATGCAGTTATAAAAAAAAAATAAAAGGGCAACTGTTGATGGGCAAGGTTACTGCAGCCCAGCAGCTCCAGGGCCCGGAGACACAGCATCTGGACAGTGCTGGAGAGAATGTGGAGCCCACTAAGTGCCAGTTTGCCCAGGCCTAGCCAGGAGCTCGCTCAGCTGCTGAGTGTCCCTGTGTCCCCACCCCTGGCTTATGGGGCATGAGGGTGAAATGAGATGGCACACAAAGTAGGCTGAGCATAGGAAATGAGCCCCAACAACAAACAGCAACCCTTCATCCTTCAGGGAGCAGCTTAGAAAGGGGCGTCCCTCATTCCTCATCCACCCCTTCGGGGACCAGGGCATGAAGAAGAGAATGAGAGGGTGACTGAGCACGTTCCCTTCCTCCTCCCTCCGGCTCTCCCCCACCTCGAGCCCCAAATCATCCAAGAAGCAGAGGTAGGGAGTTAAACCCAGCTCCAGGGACCCCAAAGCATCTGCTCTTCCCTGCATGTGATTCCTGCATCATGCTGGCTCCACATCCAGCGCCTGCCCTGAGCAGGACTCCATGTCCCCCTAGCTTTGATGCCCTGTGTCATGCATCAAGCTCTGGGCTTCTCCACCCTCCACATGATCATGTCGTGAGAACTCAGGGCCCTGAAACCACAGTGGGGAGGAGGTGGCATTGACGGTGTCCTCTTCACCATGTTTAGGTAACCAAAGAACCAGAGATAATGGGTCGATGCCTCTCAATTGGTGCCCTCTTCTCCAATTTTCACATACACACCAAAAGAAAAATCCACTGGTTACACAAGACCCAGAAAAATCCACTTGAAAGTAATTGATATTTTACAAACATCTCCAAATGGGAGTGCGACCTCTGAGACAGGATCTCGCATAGCGGAAAGACAGCACCCTGAACGAAGCTCTCAGCACACGGGGTGGATTGCCAAGTAGAGGCCAAGGCTCAGTGCTGTGATGACATCTGCAAAGTTCACTGACAACCCTTCACTGAGTGGGACCTGAGAACACCCTGGAGCCTCAAGGGGAGAGTGCAGTGACAGTCACCTTTGTTTCAGCACATACAGCAGCGTAGTTGTGGGTCTGGCCCTGTGGGGCTGCATTGCAGTTGGTGGGCAATGGGGAACAGGGGCAAGAGTCGAGGTGTGAGAAGGCTTAGGTCCCTACTGGGCCCTGGGGCGGTGTGTGGGCTTTTTGCTCTGTGTGCAGCAGGAAACCATGGAGCGCTCTGCACAGAAGGATGGCAAGGTCTGAGTTGAATCTTCAAATGCTTCCTCAGGCTGCTGTGCAGAACAGGACTGGTAGGAGGCCTGAGATGCGGAAGTTCTTCTTAGAACCTTTTGCGATAATTCAGGTTACAATAGTGGTGGCTGAGGAGGAGTCATTGGACATGGTCAGAGTCTGAAAGTGTGGGTAGAAGCTCTTGACAGATGGTTGGTAAGAAAAAGGAAAAGAGGCGTCATGAGCAACTCCAAGTGCTGGGACTGGAACCAAAGAATGGATTGTGGAGCCATCTCTTGAGATGATGCGACTGGCAGATTTTACCTCAATTCTCTCTACCACCCCCATACCCCAGCTCAGCTCTCCAAGGTAAGCCTGCTGCTTTGGCTTCATGGCTACCTGTTCTTTCCCGCAAATCTTATCAAGAAAGGTGAGATCCATCTATCCATCCAATCACTCACTCATTTATTAGTATCATTTCACACACATTCGTTATCTCCTGTCATGTGGTAACATAGGCAGTTCTGTAGACACAAAGACCAATTAAACTCATCTTCTGTCCCTATGGGGCAGGCACAGAGAAACTTAGAATTTTAATGAATACTAGAAACCAGTCATCTATTCAGTTATTTAGTCACTCAAAAACATTCATTGACTTAATTTACCACAAGCAACATGGGGGTGGTGATTGAATTTGCTCTCTCTCTGAAGAAAGCTCTAGACAGTGTAGAATCAGCCCTCCTCCCTCCCTCATTCACTGAAGAGTCACCAGCATACACCCCAGTCAGGTCTCAGAGAGGACTCCTGTTGGATGACCCAACAGTGGGCCCTGGTGAGCGTCTCCAAGCAACCAGGCCTCCTTCTGAGCTTCCGCAAGCCCCAGCTTCTACCCAGGACTCTTCCTGCCTGCCATGTGAGCAAGCTCTGGTGGCAGCTGCCACAGACCACTGTCCCACCTCCCCACTGTGTGCTGGGGGCTCACTCTGGTGTTCTCCCACAGAAAACCATGAAGCCATCCACCCAAGCAGTCAACCTTACAGCCATCCGCCCAGACCCTGTCTGACCATTCTTGACACCAGCAGGTGCCGGGACCCAAGATGTGTTCATCCTGGAGGCTCCTCATCCTCCTCTCATTCCTGGCTCTGCACAGCCTGGCCCAGGCCCAGTCAGACAGCAAGTCCACCCTGGCAAGAAGTAAGCTCAACCTGTGCTCTGCCCGCTGGTCACAGGGTGGGGAGGGGCAAGTGCGCCCATCATGACTACAGAGTGACCCTGGCTCAGTCCCTTACCCTACCTTCTTTTTTTTCTATAGGCCTCAAGTGCACAAAATTGGGATTAGGTTCATCATACGTCAATTCAGAGTGCACATCGTTAGCATGAATCATTGCAAGGTCCCACTTCAGTTTCATATTGTTACTTGCCCTTCCTTTTTCTCATTCATATTCCCCTCTGGGCTGGGCAGGCCCTGCAGTGTGTCTACTCTGTGTTTTTAAATGTGGCTCAGGCCTTCATAGGCTATGTTTTGATTTACAAAATTGTACTACCTTGTGTCGCTCATTCTTGTTTTACTGTCTCACTCTATACTTGCTCTTGACACTGCTCCAGCTGGTGTAGAGGTCTATAAAGATCATCTGCCTCAGTTCACTTAGCTGCTACCCTCGGGAGGGACTCTTAGGCTGTCTCTGACCATGCTCTTTTTGTACACGACACTGAGGTGGCCATTGTAGCCCTGCCCCTGTTAGAGCACATAGGAGAAGTGCCCTGGGATGGACCCAGAAGGCTGGGCCCGTAATAGGCATATGCCTGATTTAACTAACGCTGCCCAAATCCTCCCTGGGATGCCTGTGCCAGTCTGCACTAGCTCAGGTAATGAGTGGGCATTCCTGTCTCCCCGTGTCACCCCTCACCGCAGAGCATGCACATGTGTCAGTCTACCAGCACTAACACAAGACAGGGCAGCTTACGCACACACTGCTCTTCTCATGGTTGTGGAAGCTGAAAGTCCAAGTTCAGAGTGCCGGCAGGGACGGTTCTGGCAAGGCCTTTGTCGCTGATTTGCAGATGGCCACCTTCTCGATGCCATCACCTTTCAGAGGGGGAGCTCTCCAGGGTCTCCCCTCCTAGAAGGACATCAGTCTGATCAGATTAGGACCAACCTTACGACCTCATTTAAATGTTTTTTCTTTACTCCTTAAAGGCCCTATCTCCAGACACAGTCATATGGCATAGGGAGGGCAATGCAGGACAGAACATCACCTTTTTAAAGTTTCTGCCGGTCTGAGGCGTAGTGGAGTAGCACTGGTCTTAGCTCTTGTAGCACTTGTCTTAGCTCGGCTTTACCTGATATTGAGCATCTCATCGTAAGTTTGTTAACTGTTCCAACTTTTCTGAATTCCCTTTTCTTCTCTTTTGCCCCTGTTTCTATTTACTTCCCAGCTTTTTATTCCCTTTAGTTGTGAGGAGATGTTATTTATCCTTGACGTTAGTCTCTTGTCAGGTTTAACCCCTGTAGTATCCGTGGGATATGGACCCGGCGCCCACCCCACCTCCCTCCACACGGCAGATACTCATCCTTGTATAAGATGGGTCGGGGGCCGATACTCGTACAGACCTGTGCACCACCTCTCATGCACCTCAGACAATCCCTCAATCACTTGTAATACCTGACACAATGTAAGCACTGTGCAAGTAAGTGTTTTTCAAGCAATAATGACTACAAAAATCTGTGCAAGTTCCATACAGACATAACTTTTTTTCAAGTATTTTTCCATCCACAATGAATTGAGTCTGCTGATATGAAACCAACAGGTACAAAGAACTGACTGTACTTCTCCCATTTATTTCAGAAAAAGAGCTCTCCTTTATTAGCTTTGTTAGTTGAACAGGAGTATTTGCAAACTCATCAATAACTCATCCTATAATTTGAGTTTGGAGAATTTTGAGACCTTGCCCATCCCAAATATAATCTTCTTGGTTTTGTTCCTCTGGCTTTGTAGCTTTATCATTCACATTTGGGACACTAACCCATCTGGAAGTCATTTGTGTGTGTGTGTGTGTGTGTGTGTGTGTGTGTGTGTGTGCACGCGTGTATGTGAGCTAGTGCTCAGCTTCACTTCTGTCCACATAATGAGTTAGTTCTCCCAGTCCATCTATTAAGTGACCCAATTCCCGAACATGAAGATTCATTTCTGTGCTCTCTGTGTTTCTACACTAAATAGTGTAATATTTAAATGCAACATTTTTGTAAGTCGGTTTTATCTGTTAGAACTTTGTTCTTCCAAATGAATTTTAAGTGTGTTGTGTTTTTTAAATTTAGTTAGAAACTTGATTGGGGTTACACTGAACTTGTTTGCTAATTTAGAAAGAAATCCATATTTTCTTGAGCTATTGGTCACTCCGCGATAAACTTACTATATCTTTTAATTTATTAAGATTTATTACTGAGTGGGAGAGGAAGTGAAAAAAAGAACGTATGTTATGCGCATGCACCAACTTCCCATGAGTAATGTAAACAGTGGACCCCACACATGCACCAAGAGAATAAAATCTTTTTTAAAATGTATTACTCCATTAAGATTTTATTTTATATCCCATAACAGAACTTTAGTGTCTCATAATGCTTTGAGCCTGATTTGTTAAATTGGTTCCTAGAGAATTTATAATTTCTTGCCATAGTAGACACCCCTAATTTTATCATATTTTCTGATTGGTATAGATGAAAGGAAAATTGTTGATTTTTAAAAATTAACCTGGTATCCAAAAGTCTTATGATCTCTTACTAACAGTTTGTCTTATTTTTTGTTAGAGTCTTTATCTAGAGAATTATATCATCTGCGAATACTGACAAATTTACCTTTTCTCTCATGATCTCCTGCACTTCCTCTGCCTTTTATCTTCTTTTCCTCTCTTTTCTTTTTCTTTCTTTCTTTTCTTTTCCCAGAGATGTTGACTCGCTGTTTAGCCTAAGCTGGCCTCAAACCTCATGATCCTCCTGCCTCGCCTCCAAAGTGCTGGGCCTGTGGGCGCATGCCACCACACTAGCGTCGCGTGCTCCTTATTCTGCATCATAACCAGGGCCTTCTGCAGGGTGGAAATGTGTGTCTAGACTTCCCCACTAAGTAGGATGTTTTCTGCAGGTTATGGAATACAGTGGGTTTTGTTTATTTGGTTGTTTGTTTTTGCATTAAGACAGTTCCCTATATTTTTAGCTTTATGAATCTTTCTTAATCATAAATTGTTATTAGCCCACAAGTATTTTTTTGCATGTAAACGTTCATCAGTTATGGGGCTGAGAGTTTAGCTCAGTGGCATAAGTGCCTGTCTGGCAAACGCAAGATCATGAGTTCGGTCCCAGGTATCAAAAAAATTAATCAATTTTTTCCTCTAATCCATTACATGAAAACTTGTATTAGTAGATTTTCTGCTTTTGAGCCAATCCAGCTTTTCTGGAATGAAGTTCAATGTACTATTAGACTTTATTAGCTACTAAATTACTTAGAATTATAACAAAATTTTCTTTTTTCTTTAGAATAGAAAGCCACTTCTAAAAATAAATTTTAAATTATTTTTTATTGAGGCACTCTATATGTTTATAAATATTAATAATAATTCAGTAATTGTATACAGTGCATAATCAGCAAATCAGAGTAATAAGTACCTCTACCTCCTCAAATATAATCATTTCTACATGTTGATAACATTGATATTTTTCTAGTTATTTTGAAATCACAGATTGTTGTAAACAATAGTTGCCTGTTGTAAACAATAGTTGCCACAGAAAACCAGAACTAATTAGTCCTCTCTGGATTCTGGTGCCCATATTTCATTTTTCCCTCCTCTCCATCTCTAGTTTGGGTTTTAGCACATTCTTCATGTACTGAAATAAATTTACAACTTTCTGTCCTTGTACTTGCCTTAAAGCTAAGCAAGCTACACCAGCTTCATAAGAAGAATTTTTCTATTTTCTTTCCATTTCTTCCTTACAAAGGTTTGGTAAAAACTTTCGCATACAATCATCTAAGTGAGAAGCATTTATGGAAAGAGATCTTCCATTATTATTCCTATTTTTAAGACATTTCTTAGATTAGGGATGTTTTTCCATTTTTCTTCATTGAAACTTAGCATTTTATGATCTGCCATGCTTATTTCAATTAAGATATCAAACAGACGGGTGTGCAGGTATGAACCCAGGTGTCTTCACACTCTCATCACCCTTCAGTGGATACAGGTAGAATGCTGGTCCATGAAGCTGCTTCTGTCTTACGTGAAGGAAGGCACATACAAAGTGCTTCTTTAGCTGTGCATATATTTATCATTTCAATCATCTTCACAGTGTAAGTTAGAATACTTAGTTGGAAGTAAAGGAAAACCCAACTCAACCTGACTAAATCAAGTTTTTAAAAAATCAGTTCACAAGACCAAAAGTAGATAAAAGAAGATCCAGCATCTCAGAGCTTCTACTCAGACTGGATTTGTCCATTTCCATTCTGCTATGATCACAGTTTTGTCCTCAGGTTTGTTCCCAGCTGATAGTAAAATAATGACCAGTGGCCAGCATAGCTCCGGGTGGTCTTGTACATAATCAACAGAAGAAAGAGGCAAAAAGCCTTCTTGCAAACGTAGAACATAAAATATTCTGTCTGACTCGGTAGAGTCAGGCAATTTAGGTTACACATCAGCTTTGAATCTCAAAGTCTCCAGGGGTGAGCCACACAATGATGGTTCAGATAATCAACAGCTTCATCTGAATCAGAAATGTGAGAGACAGCCTGCATTAAGTCAGGGTTCGGTTGAGAACAGGTCGGATTGATAGGTGGTTGGTCAGGAGGGTGAATGGATGGATAGATGAATGTATGGATGGATGAGTGGATGGATGGATATTAAGAATTGCTAGTAGGCATAGGCATCCCTATTCTAGAAACTATTTATTTAATATATATCTCCTAGTAGACAGGAAATTGCTTTGTGTTCTTAGTGCCCAACACAAAGTTTCGTACCAAGTAAATTATCAATAAATATTTATTGAATAATTTGCCTCAGTAGTCCTCACAAGAGCCCTGTGAGCTGGGAGTTATTATTGTCCTTATTATATAAGATCCAGGAAGCCAAGAGAGTCAGGATCTGAACCTAAATTTGTGCCTACAGACACACTGTCTTATTTGTAGATGACAGAAGCAAGAGGTACTGATAGGAGGACCTGGCCCTGGAGAACAAGAGATACGCCACTGGTTTCTGCTGCTCTCCAGTCACCCAGAGTTGCTAGTGTGAGACCTGACCCTAGGCAGAGCAAGTCAGGGAAACGAATGTCAAAGTTTCAACAGGGCTGGGCCCCCATCCCGGGCAGGAGGGGCTGGAAGCCAGAGAGGCAGGACTTAACCATATTTATAGCTTTGAAAATCCTCTTTCTTTGGGGTATTTATTCTTTTCTGCTGGAAGCCGGACTAGTTCCAACACTGAATTCAAGCATGGGATGATTTGCACTTACTCTGTCCATATCCATCTGTTTTTGTCTATTTTTGTCTTCAACCAATGTTTATCGTGATCTCCATCTTGCATATTAGCTCTGTGTTCCAGATTCAGAGATAGAGTGCAAAGAGAACTCACCCAGAATAGCTTTTTTGCACTGCGACTGCCTGCCAGGCTCTGTAAAGCATTGGTTTTTGTTTCACACATCAGTCTAGCAAAGCACAGTTACAGATGAGGAATGTAGCTCTCAGCAGGGGACTATGGTGACCTGGGCCAATCTCTTAGCAGGAAGAGGATGCATCTGCCTGCACCTCAGTCCTCCCAACTTCACATCCCCAGGTTTTCCACAACACCGTCCAGTATCACTGGCCCTTGTTCCCTTCCAGTTATTGCCCTAGGCCTCATGAAGCACAATGCAGAGGACCAAATCCAGAGCATCCACCTCCTGGAGAGTCTGAATGGCTCAAGGAAGGTGGTCCCCAGGATGGTGGGCTGGCTGATTGGTGGCATGAAACTCCAGCGACAGCAAGAGATCAGGTGAGAGAGAGTGCGTCCCTGGCCAAGGATCCTTCATAGGTCCCTGGGTCAGAGACCAGAGCTGGGTGGGTTGGGGGTGTGAGACCTGTAGAGAGAGAAGAGAGACTGAAAGAAAGAAGGCAAACAACCGGGGATGGGGACAAATGGGCGCTCAGTGTGAGGACCATTTGGAGAGACGGCAGAGCAGGGTAAATAGTGACAATGCAGGAGAAGAAATATGTCTACATTTAAAACCTAGCTCTGCTACTCAGTTTCCACTGACCGTGAGTTTCAGACTCATCTACTAAATGAGAATACAGGGCACAGCCTCAGTAAATGTCTGGGTACCAAACAACATGAGGACCACAGTTAGACATTTGAGTCTGCAGCTGTTGCTTGATAACCATGTGGACTAAACACATGGATGAACTGAGCTGAACCCTTGCATCCTCATCCATAAAACAGGTGTGGCAGCTGCCCCACCTCCAGGAGATACTAGGAGCTTTTAGAATCATGCATGTGACTTCTCAGACAAGCATGTGGATACAGTAGCTGTGGCAGCTGGAATTCACCTGCAGGAGCAGCCCCGTCCTGCTCACATTTACTCCCTCAGATTGGGGCAGGTCCCTGCACTCTCCAGACTCAGGCTACTCACCGGCAGCACCACCATTCCACCTGCTCTGTCCCAAGGTTCTCTTCCTTCTAGCTCTAGTCACTGTCACCAGTCTGGTGAGGACCGCCACTCACCAATAGGGCTTTCCTAGGATGCGCATGGGCACAATCACCTCCCCTCACTGATTCCTCTATCAAGTGTTACAGCCATTCGTTGGGCATCTACTACACACCAGGACTTGGTATGGAAGGTCCTCATTCATAGCTGGGAAGACAGCTCTGAATAAGACTATGCTGCTACATTTTGAGAGTAACTTGCATTCCAATAGTGAGCTAGACCACAGACTGGTCTAAATGACTAATTTCAGGTGAGGGGCATGATAAAAAGATGAATTTAGCAAGAAGTAAAAGTGAGCGAAATAGTGGCCCCTGAGAAATTTGAATGAAGAAAGCAAGTGACGTGAAGAACACAGGCAGCATGGGCTGAGGGGACACAGGAGGTGCAAGGCCCTGAGGTAGGAGAGTGTTTGAAGGGGAGAAAATCTCCATGTGGCTGAGGGACAAGGAGGAGATGGGGCTGCAAAGGCGAGTGAGGAGTCAAGATTCAATTCCAAGGGCCAGGGATTTAGCTCAGTGGTCTAAACGCCTGGCGAGTGTGACACTGTAAGTTTGAGCCCCAGTACGCACCCCCAAAAGAAAGAAAGGTTTGATTCCAAGAAGGACAAAAGAAGTGCATGGGCCCCTCATGGAAAAAAATCCTACAGAAAAAACAAAAGCACACAGTAGGTGGGGACCAGAAAGGATGGCAGCATCTCCAGGGAGAAGCTGGGTGATCAAACCAAGTGAAGCAAAAGAAGGGCCAAATTCACACACTTTGCAAACAGAGCCACATAGTTTGCTGATGGGAACAATGTAGGGGCAAGGAAAGGAGAAAAGTCAGAGGCGGCCCCGGATTTGGCTCCCAGGCAGTTGGTGGAGCCAGCTACTGAAAGAGGAGGCTTAGGCTGAGAGCAGGATCTGGGTCTGGAGCTGGCTGGGGGTGGCATGAAACTGTTGGGGAACTCTGGGATCGTGGGCAACCCAGGAGCTCCATGCCTGTGCATCCTTCTAGGCGCTTATAACTGGATCTGATTCCAAACCCCAACACCGGGCCTGCTTTGCAGAGCAGCCAGCCTCGTTCTGCAACACAAGGCCTCGGCAGTCCTGGGCCCCCACCCTGCGAGGCCTCTGCTCTTTCCCTTGTAGCATCAACATCACCAACGTCCAGCTGGACTGTGTTGGGATCCAGATGTCTGTCCATAAGGAGTGGCTTTCTACAAACATCTCACTTGAGTTTGACATTGAATTGACACTGTGAGTCTTAGGGAAGCTGCCATGGGAGGCACTGCTCCTCCTCACTGGGAGCTGGGGGGAAATCGGGCCACGTGAGAAAGACAGATTTCTCTAACCCCAACCTGAATTTATGTCTGGGTTTTTGAGCTCACTCTCTTTGTGAGCTCGGGCAAATCACTTTATCTGTCTGAGTCTTGGTTTCCCCAGCTGAAATGCAGATGACAATTAGGTCATCTGTCCACTTAAAACTAAATGAAGCCAGGCATAGAGGTGCATACCTGTAACCCCAGCACTCAGGAGGCTGAGGCAGGAGAATCACTGCGAGTTCAAAGTCAGCCTGGGCTACCTAGTGAGTTCAAGGTCACCCCAAACTGCACAGCAAGATCCTGTTTTAGCCCTCGCAGGGCTAAGAAAAGAAAGCAGGAACAGCCACTTGAATTCATCCTCACTCTGTGCCCATCACCCTCCTGGCCAGGCTGTTCCTTAATATCCACTGCCCCCAGGGAAGGGGGCTGTAGCTAAGCAGAAGTGATTTTTAAAGTAGAAATTAAAACTTTTAATTTTCTAAAAGTTCCTAACCTGGCCTTCTTAAGGGATTTTCAAAAGTCATTCTAGAGCTGGGAATGTAACTCAGTGGTAAAGCACAGGAGGCCCTGGGATCCACTGGGGGAAAAAAAAGCACCCATATTAATAGCACTTTTCTCTCTCAAACTGATTTTGGGATTTAGCTTGCGTGATTTGTTGGGAGCACTCGGGTGCTGGGGGGAGCCCTGCCAGTGGATAGTGTGTGTCTTTGCTGACACAGAGAGCCCATCTTTCTGCTAGCTGCTTCTGCCTCCTTCCATTCTTTCTCTGACCTTCCCTTCCTGCTCCTGCTCTCTCTCCTGCAGGCCCTTCAGTAACAACACAGCACTGCACACGAGCATGAACCTTGCTGCAGAGTTCTGGCTGGAGAAAGACGAGTATGGCCGGAGGGATCTGATGGTGGGCCAGTGCTGCACGGAGCCCAATGTCCACGTGACAGTCCTCGCTGAGTAAGACCCCCACTGCAGCCTCACTGCCCCAGCTCCTCCTCCTAAGTCCGTCGCAGACCTCACCCCTTCCCCAGACGCACTCTCCCTCCTGGCTCCGAAGGTGTGATGCCTCTGTCATGCTTCCTCTGCTTTCCCTAAGTGGACCCTCGTCTCCCACCCTCCATTCTTCATTGCGCTGCAGAAGTTACTTTCTAATGTAGAAATCTAGTGGCGGTCAGGGCCCCTGCTCCAAAGCCTCCAGTGTTCCCCAGTGCCCTGGAGATGAAGAGCAGACTCCAGATTGTTACTGCAGTCCCCTAGCATTCCACTGCAGTCCTTTCCCCTGCAGAATTGCTGAAAGACCCACCTCTCTGTGACACACCAGGCAGTGTCCCAACACTGTGCCCTTGCCTGGGATCCTTCAGCCTGGGATGCCCTTCCTGTCTTTTCTAAATCATCCCCTTCATCACTCATACAATGTGCAGGCATCATGCCTAATGTTATGGACACAGAGGTGAACAAGACAGAACTGAGAGCTTCGTGAGGCTCTATAGTCTGGCAGGCCAAATGGGTTGACCACAACAGATCGAAAGATTTGGGCTGATTTGTCTCTGTAATTTCACAATGCCAAACAATGAAGACCTCAGTGGACATCTGCTAATTCATTCTTCAGATATTCACTGACTCTAAATGATATCAAACAGTCTGGGGCCCAGTGTAAGGGAAAGACCAGGGACTCTGGGGCCATCTTGGTACAGTTCTGATAGAATTAGCGCTTCCTTGCTGTCTGCCCTTGGGCAAGTCATACCACCACTCTGAGTCCCCTTTTGACTGTTCCTGACAATACCTCTATGTGGGACCAGACCAGGCTTAACAGACCTCAAATCATGTTCAATGCATACCACATGGCATCAGCAGTGTCGGGACTGTGCCCTTCTCTGTGCATCTACCACTCTTTCTAGGGCCATGCCATACAAGGTGAAACATTTTCTTCACAACCTCAAAGAGAATGTAGGAAAAGTTATCCCACATCTGGTAGAAAATCAGGTAAGTTTGAAAAAAATATCTACACTTTGGGCATCCTTGGGCTTGAGGGCCAGGACATATGTATGAGCAATTTAGCAGAGGCTTTCAAATCTTGGGCTGTAGAATATGAAAAATCTCAGTGAAAAACTTCAGTTTGGCCAGTGTATCCGTGAGCAAGGGACTTGGTCCCCCCCCCCCGAGCCTCAGCTTGCCCATCTGCAGCAGGGGAGCTGTCATACTGCCTGCCTCTTAGAGTTTGGTGAGGACCTGGGGAGACAAGCCTGGGGGTGCTGTGTGTGGCGCACAGTGTGAGGCTGGTACTCAGTGTGAGGCAGTTACTCTTGCCCTGGTTCCTGCTAGAAACCCCAACCTCGTGCCCTCCAGTGACCCCTTTCTCTGTGCTGTCATCCCAGGTTTGTCCTCTTGTCGGCGACCTCCTCAGGCAGCTGGATGTGAAACTGTTGAAAGGTCTTATGGGTGAGTGTCTGGTCTGTCAGGAGGCCATCCCAGGACTGGCAAGTCCTGAAAGGGGGGCCCTACCTCCAAAGTCCCCCATGAGACCCACTGAGGGGTGTTTGCTTATGCTGCAAGAAAATGTTCCAGACCTCCAAGAGAACTGGGACAGTATAGCAGAACCCAAACAAGCAGGCTGCACCCCGCCAAGTCACCCTAACCATCAGAACACTAGAAATTCTAACACTACCCAAGAGCTCCACCAATCCAGGAGGAAGTTCCAGACCCACCCCAAGTCACCCTAAGCAGTAAACTGTTTGAGGTGCTGCCCTCACCAGCTCACAGTCTTGTGCATAGAAGCCAGGAAGTGAATCACCCAGTGTCATTTGGAATGAATGACACAAATGCTTCTGACACCAACTCTGGAGAATGGATGGAGAGCTCCCCTCAGTGTGGTCCTGGGGTTAAAAGGTCACCTGAGGACTGTTGCCCCTTTACCTTACAGAACAGGCAGCTGCCGAAGAACTTGATTAACCATGAATCCAGGCAACATCCGCTCAGCTCACTAAGCTCAGAGCTCAAGGCTCCTCTGCTGTTGATCAGGAGACCCCATCTCTTGCACCCTCTGTCTCCGTCTCTGGAAACTTAACCACAGGCCCTTTGGACACCCTATTCTCTCCCACAATAAACTGTAGCTTTACAGATCACAGCCGTCCCGTGTCTCTTCTCCCACCACCCTCCCCCTTCCTGGACCCTGAGGTTTAGGTGCAGGAGTCAGACCTTTTAAAGCTTACAAGTATCCTTCAGGTGCTCATCAGCCTAGAAATACTACTCTGGACCTGTGCTTTGCAACCATTCACAATGTTGCCTGGAGAGCCTACGAGTTCCCATCCCCTCATTCATTGACCCCATTTTATTGAGCACCTATTATACACCAAGAACATTGCTGAGCTCTAAGGAGATGCAGAGACAGAGGGACAAGAGTGGAAACACATGCATTGGTGCCAAATAATAAATCTGAGTTTAAATTAGAATCAGCCCAACTAGCAGTTTCATGAGGACTCACCCCACACAGCCCGGAGATTTAAGACACCTATGCCCCAACACAGCCAGCGAGAGTGTGAGCTCAGCAAGGGTTTGAAGTTAAACAAATGGATGAATCCCAGTTTTAGGCTCACCAGTTGTGTTTGACACAAAGCACTTGATATCATGGGTTTCATTAACTGCAAAATGAGAAAAATAGTCTCACAGGGTGTGGAGTCCCCAGGAGCCCTAGCATGCTGCTGGGGAGAAAAATGAGACCTCTATCCACTTCATGAAACTGACAGCGTGGACTAAAGCTGAACACAAGGCTTTGGAACCGCAGTTCCTCACAAGCTGTTGCTTAGCAGATACACTTGTACACATGCAGAAAGACAGGGAGGCTCAGGTTATCAGGCCCTAATATCCTCCAGCACGATCACCCCCAGTATTCTCCATGGTAAGGAAAATGACCTTCACTCTCACACAACCACATGGGTGAACCTCATAAACATAATGCTACACGAAAGAAGCCAGGCACAACAGCACGTGCAGCATCTCCCATTGCTATGAAGCTCAAAAGGAGCCAAATGTGGCAACTCACACCTTTAATCCCAGTTATTCCAGAGGCTAAAGCAGGAGGACTCCAAGTTTGAGGCCAGCCTGGGAAACCTAACAAGACCTTATCTCCAAATGAAAAAGTGGGGACCTGGGGATATGGCTCAGAGGTAGAGCAAGGCCATGGATTCAAGTGCCACAGTACAAAATTTAAAACAAATGAAACAAACTCATGGAACTGCACGTCAAGGCAGTTAAGGCAAGGGTTAGCGACCAGAAGGGGCTTCCAGCAAGCTGGTCTTGACCATGAGAAAGGATGTCAAGGACTCATGGAACTATTTATGTATGTGTACTTTTTTAAAATGTAATACAATGTATTTTAAATTTTAAAAATAAAAGAATATTTCACAAGCAGGGTGCTTGTAAGGAGTACACTGAACACCCTACGTAGTATGTGTAATATATGTGAGGCCAATGGGACATGTTCATAAATGTCCTTTAATTAATTGTTAATTACTTAGTCACCAGCCAATCAGTTATCGAATATTGATTTCCACACTTCTCCATCTAAAAGTGGAGAAATCAAGGGAAATGACACATGTATTAGTGATAACAGCGACACATAAGTAAGCACCTGCCGTGGGCCCAAACTTGGGGCTCAGAGCTTACACCGAGTGCCTCACAGCAACCCTGCGAGATACAAATCTTTTATTCCATTCTGCACACGAGAACAATGAGGCTCAGTGACAGTCTCTTGCCCAAGCTCTCACAGCAAGGAAATGCCCGAGTTGACAGCACTCAGACCCCCAGTGTGGAGCTCGCACTCCTGACCTCTGTGAATCCCTCTCTCGCTGTTCTTCCCCGCAACCCCTCCCCAGGCATTAAGGGGGAAATGATGAAATAGGTGTTCAGCAGAGCTGACAAGAGCAAACAAGGAAGTGTCAGCAGCTCGAGCTGAGAATAGGACCAGAGAGCTTCTGGTTTCCATCTTTCAACTCCAGCTCCCTAGTCCAAAACGCTTTGGCGGGGATTTGCAACCCTAAACTCCTGTATCTCCAGATCCCTTCACAGCTTTGAGCTTAAGGGGTTCTTCCTGCTCCTGAGCCAGAAAACAAACACAGAGGGAGGGCTGGGCTGGGAGACTACCTGGTCCTCGGCTGCCTTCCTTCTCCTGACCCTCCTGGATGACTCAGTTCTCCTCAGAACAACTCCTTGGGTTTCTCGAATTTTCTTATTTTAAGGTTCACAGAGCAGTAGATGCAACACATTCCCTTCAGAAAAGCCTGTTGAACAGTGAGTGGGCTTCTATAATGACACTGAGGTCCACAGTGAGGTGGTGTAAGCAGGAATCAAGCCCCAAATGTTCAGAATCTTTGTCCAGGTCCTGCAGCCTACGCCCTGTGTCTTTCAGGCCCTTCTAGCAACAACACCAATTCTGTGCCAGAGATGAATCTGTACATTTGTCTGTCCGAATTTTTACCCTTCCACGGCCTCATGTTATAGATGAGGAAATAGCTCACAGAGTGTAGAATTATACTGCATGTAAAAGTCTCTTTTGCACTGAGGATAGAGCTCCTGTGAAATGTTCTTACCATAAAAAACAATTTCAAAAGCTTAAGGAGGAAGAGGAGGAAAGTCTTGCCCAATCATACAGAGAGTAGTGGGCCAGGCTGGCACTCAGAACTGTTTGACGTCATAGCCCACAGTGAGTTCCAGAGAACACAGGCAGGTGCTTTCTGAAGAAGACAAGCAAACTTGCCCTTGAAGCACACTGAAGCTGGGCAACCCTAAAGGGCAATCTCACCTCTTCCCAGCTGAGGGAGCCTTGAGCAGTCACTGCCCTCCCTGAGCCTCAGTTTCCCTTTCAGGACTGGTACGGAGAGTATAAAGTGCTTGGGTCTCAACAAAGGTGGTTATTAGGATCTGCTCTAACTGCAGGTTGGGAAGACCATGCTCCAAGGCAAGGAAGCTTGCCTGAAACAAACTGCAGAATGATAGATTCTTTCACCAGAATCAGGGTGCCCAGCCCTCTGGGAACCCTCTGGAATGCCCAAGCCCATCTGAAAATCTTCCCAAACTGACCCCATAACCTGACCTTGCTCCCACAGAGCAGATCCAGCGTTCCCTTCCCATGTTCTGAAGAGTAAACTTTGTATGTATCCTTTGATAGAGATGCAATGGAAGCCAGGAAGGGAAAGAGAGAGGGAAGGAGAAAAAGGAAGAGGAATCCTGGTCTCTAGGGACCACTGTCCTCCTGGGAGATGGACTTTTTAGCATCTGAAATTAATAAGAATGGGTGATATTTGTCTTTATGCTCCTGGTCAACTTTTTAAAAACATTTTCAAAGGAGCCCTTGATTCACAAAACCCCACCCATAAAAGCTCCCAAATACAATCACAATCTGGCAAGGAGGTGGAAAAGATGCCACACACAGGTTCCGAAGAACACATTTGCGCTGTATGGATATCTCCTGTGTAGGAAAACGGTCTGGGAAATGTCCGCAATGTGTCCTGATTGCTCTTTTCTCCTGCTCTAGGTTCTGTCCCTGCAAGGGTGCGTTAGGAACACGCAGCCCCTAGGGCAACAAGGAGGAGCTATTCCCCCAGCAGAAAGACAGCATTGACGTTTCAGAGGCCTGGGCTTTAACACGGCTCTGCAGACAGAACTGACAGGCGTTGCTGGGACAGCACGAATGGAGGTTGTTTGGGGTTGATGGAGCTGCTTTGTCCTTTCACTATTACGGTGGCTACAAAAATACACCCCTGTTAGAATTCACAGAACTTTATATCGAGAGAAAAATCACCTTTGATCTCTAGTAATGTACACATGTAGAGCTTGGGTTTAAACTGAGGCATAGGAGGCATTCAGAAGTTACAGTCATGCTGGGGTGAGAAGCCAGGGCTGGGCTCCAGGATGAGACTTCTCCCAGGGGACTGAGGGAGCAAAGGAGTCCATGAACCTGAGAAAAGAACACAACTGCAGTGGTTCTGGAAAGCCCAGCACACTTTTCAACCCCAAGCCAATCCAAACGGAGGCCAAGAAGCTCTGAAAACCCCCCTAAGACTACAGGATAGAGAACGGAGAGTGGGTGTCTGTACGCATGTCCTCTCCCAGAGCTGGGACGGGTGGCCCTGGGAAGAGGAAGTGAACCAGAGAGTCCAGGTGGATTCGGGCAGCTGGGCTCACACAGCCGCCCACAGTCCTGCCCTGGGCCAAGGGTCTGAGGAACACAGAACAATTCTGAGTCTAAGCGGGGAGAGTAAATGCTACACCCAAAGGAGCCTTTCAGGCAGGAGGGCAGGGCAGCGCCTCAGCAGTCTGGGCCCAGATAATACGATGCATTTCCAGTCTAAAGAACAAGGTAGCTTTGGAAACCTGGACAAAAATGAAACCCCAAGAGATGAGGAAATTCCCATTGCTCAGTGAAATAACATGCCAAATGGTAACTAGATGGTAGGTGCCTGGGAAAATGTGTGGACTCCAGGTTTAGGAAGGGAGCGTTATAGCTGCTCCTCCACAGCCCTTCACAGATGAGGAAGCCGAAGTTCTGGGACTGGAGCGACCTGCCTGAGGTCACAAGTGCCAGACTCATCCCGTTTGCTGCCATAATACCCAGTCTCCTGGCTCCGAAGCAGAAGAGGGAAACTTTTCATTAGCTGGTTATTTAACACAACTCAGTTCTTTGCCTGCTTCTGTTTCCCTACAAGGGTAGTAACAGCCACACCAGGCCTACAAGAGTTACACAAAGATAACAGAAAAGGGGACCACTTGGAGAATAACTGGCACGCACAGCTGTGAGGAGAATCCCAAAGTTCCTAGAAGTGGAAATCAAGTTCGGAGCTTGTGCCCCAGTCCCTGGACGCTCACAGCCCACAGAGCAGGCCTAGGGAAGGTGTGGCTTGAGGAGAAGACAGCGCCTCACTGATCCCAAGGAGTCAGGCAGACACTGGGTGGGGGCTCAGGGGACTCCAACACTCATTTGCTGTGTGTTCCTGGGAAGCAGTCACCCTCTCTGATCTATGGTCGCCTCATACAATCTATGAAGGACAATGTCGTCTACTCCTGATAAAGGTCACCTATGGAAAGCATTGGACATAGTTGCTTAATAAGAGTGTGTTTCTTCCTTCTCTCTCCATTTTTACTTCTAAGGCAACAGGATCTGCAACACAAGAGCTGCTCTAACAGATTCAGGATGCTGACTACCCCCTGCCTCAGTTTCTCCATCTGTAAAGCAGTTCCCAGCAGCCCAAGTGGTGGAGACAAGTGTTGTATCATTCCCATGGGGAAAAGGTACAAGATACAGCAGAGGGAGGGATCAAGGTACGTGGAATCCCTCAAGCCTGGGAACCCAGGGAGATTTTTCCAGAACATAAAAGTGTAAAATGTGTGATGATACTTCACAGGTGTGGGAAACCGAAGTGGCTGGAGAGTGTGTGGAAGGCGTCTCAGCCTCAGTTGGCACAGCGATTAAGAGAAAGGACGACCCAATGTGCCTGCCTTGCCTCACAGCAGCTGTGAGCCCTGGACACCTCACCTCATACTCTGAGCCCCTTTTGCCCTGTGTGAAAACTGATTTCCACCTCACTTGGGGCTGCGAGGACCTGGCACATGACACAAACTGAGTAAGTGTCAAGAGCCAAGTTGGCATTGTTTTTATTGTCATTATTATCCAATGAGTGGACTTCTAACTCACCTACCTCTCCCTGGACCACTTGTCTCCAGGAGACCTGAGTTTCCTCCTCTGTGAAGCAGGAGCAGGAGCCTTCCTCACCCAGGATTCTTGTCATATGACTGGCAGTAACAGGGGTTCAGAAAGCAGAAAAACTCCACTCTGAGACTGAAAGACACCCCAAGATGAGAAATCCAGATAGGAAAGCAGTTTGACTCTTGACATTGCAGAAGCAAGATTTCTCCCATTGGAGAAAATGAACCAGTCCGGAGAATGAAGGGGTCGAGGGACGAGACTGAAGTTCCTTCCTAGGGTCCCACCGGCTGATCCTCCCAGTGCCCCAGACATGACCTTCCTGGTCCTCTGAGAGGATGGGTTCCCACTTAGCCCAATGCATCAAACCGTGAAGTCTTGAGTAACAGCCTCATCTCAAGTTTTTCTGTTTAACTTGTGGACCAAATAGCTTAGCTGCCTCACCTGCCAAGGTGATTGGCAATTATTTACTCTGCAGAGCCCTGAAAGACATCACTGGATGGCACAATTCCCAGTTATCTAGAAATTCATCATCCAGTCCACATTTCCTGATTCCTATGCTATAAAAGAGGCTTCCTCACTGGCAGAGGTGAGCAGAGAGAGGAGGATACCGGGACAGCAGCTGAGATCCTGTAAAACCCAGGTGAGACCCACCTCTCCTGCTGTGGCTCTTCTGGCCAGGGGACCGGGATGCCAGGCTTCTTGATGTGGGCAGGCATGGACAGGAGGCACTTGCAGGTACTTACTGAAGTCTTTGCAGGGAACTAGGACTTGCCCTGATCAGGGATGTGGAGATGGCCATGTACTCTGCTTTCCTAAGAGACCAGTGACACTGGTGTAGAAATGAGTGCTCAAAAGCTCTAAGGGGAGAACTTTAAGGTGAAGTTGCTGGTTACCCACAAACCTCTTAAGACTGTTGGCCCAATTTTGTACATTATGATGCTTTTTCTAAATCTAGGGTCTCTAGCTGCCATTAGATTTATAAGGTTACCCAAGATGTTCAGTGACAGTTGACAGAATTTTGCCCAAATTAGCAAGTATTTCCAAAGCATAGGTTAACTCTGCCTTTGGACATTTTTGCTGGCTGCCAAATGGGCCTGCGAAGAGGTCAATGGTATCTGGAAAGCAGCCAGTTCACAAGGTCCCCAGACCTCAAGGTCATCCCTCAACCAGCCAGGGCAGCTTGAAGGAGAAGAAAAAGGTGTTAAAAAGAATGGAAAGGGGTTCCAGAACCTGCCTCCAAGCATAACACTGCCATCAATTTACTATATGACCTCGCAAAAGTCACTACCCCTTCTGCTCCCTTGATTCTCTATGTACACTGAGGTCTGTGGATGGCCCAAGGATTTTCCCAGCCCAGGTCTGCATGAGTTGGTGGTTGTGTCTGTACCTCCCTGGCAAAGCTTATGGGGGCATCTACAGATCATCACGTAAACCCAGACCAAAGAACTCAGCAGGGACAGTGGCAAAACAGGTCAGGTCTTGAGCCACTGGCATGGGTGAGCCTTTTCACCTGCTTTTTTGGAAGATCAGGAATTCAAGCCATCACCAGCAAACCCAGATGGAAAGTGAATCTGTTGGAATTTACCTACTAGAGCCCACAGGTCAGATAGATCTGGCTTCAAATCCTCTGGCCACTGTGTGCTTAAGACCTTGGGACATTACTTGCAGTCACTAGGCTCCTGATTCCCTGGTTGGGAGATGCAGTAATAAGTGCCCACATCTTAGGATGTGGTGAATGTGAAACTGGTTACCAAGTAAAGTAACTGCCCTGTTATATAACACAGAACCGGTCCCAACAGTGTTAGTTATTATCACCAGTCACACCCTGATGTTCTAGAGAAGAGAAGAAGTAAAAAACTCCTTCTGGGGTTGGGGGTCAGGCCATGGATACATCCTTCTGTGCCACCTTGGATTTGTCATTCTGTCCAGATACCAAGAGAGATGCTACAAATTGGAGTCCTCATTGTCTTCTGTGGGCTTCTGACCCAGTCCACAGCCCAGCTTGGAGGCCTGCCATTGCCACTGGGCCAGCTTGGCCTGCCCTTGCCCTTGGGTCAAAGGGTACCCTTGGGTCAAAGGGTGCCCTTGGGTCAAAGGGTGCCCTTGGGTCAAGATGTGCCCTTGTATGTGACTCCCGCTCTGCCCTTGAAGCACAAGGACCCTGCAGAACACCTGACTGGTGGTGAGTGAGTCTGTGGCAGCCTCTTTCAAATCTGTGTGCGTGTGTGCATGTGTGTCTAACCATTCAACACGAGGAAGGGAGGGGAGAGGGCCTGGGGACCTGACCTCCAGAGACCTTCTATCCTTTGCAGCCCTTACCAATGGCCTGATATCAGGGGGTCTGATAGACATTCTGGAAAGTCTTCCCATCTTGGATATCCTGAAGCTTAAAGGTGGCACTTCTGGTGGCCTGCTTGGGAACCTCCTTGGAACACTGACTTCAGGGATCCCTCTTCTGAACAACATCATCGAGTAAGTTGCCCCAAAATGGGGACTTAGTCCCCACCAACAAATATCTGCCAGCCCCAGGCAACGGTCCTGAAGGAGGGGTGGATAACTGAGCCTCGAGCCAATAGCACTAAGGCCCTTCTTCAGCCTGGCAGGGAACACTGTGTCCCCTGTACCTGTAATTGGCCTCAGGCCTAGAGCGTGTCCTGGGGTTCCAGAAATATCTATAAGCCTAATGACAGTATTTCAAGATAGCTTAATCGTACCCAGTTCAGGAAGGGGGGAACAGAGGCCCAGAGACATGCAGAGTAAGGCAGAATGTGGACTCTAACTTAACCAAAACCTGAAGTTTGTGGTCATTTGGTTCTCACCACCTGTGGATCACTTAGAACACAAGTAGCCTTTGATGTAAGCAAAAGAGGGTGAGCTGACTCCTCAGCTATGTCATCATGGTGACTATGAGCAATATAATGATGGAAAAATCTCATATGATCTCTCCCATGAGATACCTGAAAGCCTGCCAAGCAAGAAGTGATAATGCAAAGCTCCATGCCAGTGTGCTGGCAAAACCAGGGGTCCTGAGAGGGCTGTCAAAGCCATTTCCATGATCTCCACCCACCCAGTACTTGCTCCTGACTGAAGACAGACTCAAATTTGATTTATAAATGTACCATGCTTTCTGAGTGACCTAAGACAAGGTGCCCATATTCTTTGGGCTTAGTTCTTCAACTGGAAAATGGAGATTGCAGTATCCACCGAGAAAGACTGTTGGGAAGATGGAGGAAGGTGTGCATCACCTGGCACCATGGCTGACTCAGAGAAGGATTTCTCCCACTCTTTTTTTTTTTTTGTACCAGGGATTGAAGTCATGACCTTGCACTTGCTAGGCAGATGCTTATGCTGCTGAGCTAAATCCCTGACCCTCCAATCATTTCTTATTTCTCCCTGATTCTTGCTCTTCATCCTCATGATAAATATTGAGAGCCATGACAAGATGACTGGTTCCCACCCACAAATGTCTGTGAAAGGTTTATTTCAATTGTCCACATATCATGCTTTCATTCACTGACCAATTCATCCATCTATTCATTCATCTTTCCTTTCATCGAAACACTTCCTCATCTACACCACCACCCAGATATCCATGTATCCACCTTCCAATCAAATTGTAGTCAGCCACTTTCTCTGTAAGGCTTAGAACTGGCACACAACACGTAAACAGAACCCAAACCTCGTCCCTGCCCCAAACACTGCGTAGACCTGAAACAAAGAAAAAGTGCATGTCAGGATCTGATCCAGGCAAATGTTGGGAAAGACAGGTATGGGGCTCAGAGCCTATGTGGCTTTGGTTGCAAAACTCCTCTCCCATCTCCCTCTTCCCAGGTGGGAAGCTCTCTCTGACATGGATATTTAGGGTTAAAGATGGTTTCTGAATTTGGAGCCCAAAGAGCTGATGTTTCTCACTCTGATATTTAACAGCTTAAGGATCACTAATCCCCAGCTGCTGGAACTCGGCCTTGTGCAGAGCCCTGATGGTCATCGCCTTTATGTCACCATCCCTTTGGGCCTGAATCTTGAATTGAAATTGTGAGTAGGTCCAAGGAGGATGGAAGGGTGTTTCACCAAGGAAGACCCTGATGACTGTGAGTAGCCAAAAAGAGGGTGTTGGAGTATAGCAGATCTGAGCCTGAAACTTTAGTTTATTTGCTGTTATGTCAAACACCTTGGATCATGGAGAAACTCACTTGACCTGTCTGATACCAGTAGGTATCACCTACTTAAGGGTAAAGAGAATACAACTGTGGGAAAGATGGATAACATGAGGCTGATATTTCTGATAAGCAAAAAAGTCTTCTACTTTAGAATGTGGTGGGGCCACATACCAGTAGGGATGTCTCCTCTGCAGGCCCATGATCACAAGTCTATTGGAGCTGAACCTGAGGCTAAACATCACTGCAGAAATCTTAGCTGTGAGAGACAGCCAGGGGAGGGTCCACCTGGTCCTTGGTGACTGTGTCCACTCGCCCGGCAGCCTGCACCTCTACCTGCTTAAAGGGTGAGATCAGAGGGCTCCCTTCTTCAGCCCAAAGGTGGGATTGGGAACAAGTGGTTGATAAAATGGAGCAGTGGGTGAATGGGTAAGTGAGAGAACAGAAGGGAGAATGGATGGATGGATGAATGGATGGATAGGATGGATGGACAGATAGATGTATGGACAGATGGATAAGTAATTGGATGGGTAGTCACTTATCTCTTGTTAAGCCCAGATGACTGATTTTTATGTTGGATTAGACAACAAGCAATATGAGTTTAACCTGGGTATGGTAGTGCATACTTGTCATCCCACTACTTAGGAGGCTGAGGTGAGAAGATTGCTTGAGCTCAGTTCAAGGACAACCTGAGCAACAGTGAGACCATGTCTCAAAAAATTTTAAAAGAAGAAATGAATAAACAGAGAGTTCTGAGCTTTAGCTTCACCTACTCATTTACTGCCACATGGAAGACTGAGTTATATATAATATGCAGTCATTCAGATCTTGGCTAACAGTCACTGAGCACACATATTATGTTTCATGTGTATCATCCTCTCAAAGTCCTAATAACAGCTATATATTAAGCCCTGTTTATACACTGGTGGATTCTGCAAAGTCTTGCTTGTCCTGGAACTGTGTGTGCTGCTCTGAGAGGCACAACTCCTTGCAGACAGGGCCTGCTCATTGGGGAGAGTGGATACGCTGGGTCTCAGTAACTGATGCCAAGACTGAGGGTGCACAGTGGCCCCCTGAGGACTTCTCCAACCACGACTTTTCTCTTTCAGAATTGTTCCACCATCCGTTCAAGGCCTTCTAGATGGCCTCACAGATATCTTGAATAAATTCCTCCCTGAACTGGTGCAAGGAAAGGTAAGAGAGTAGGAATGAGAGTCCTCTGCTCCTCAGAGTCTCAGGCTGAAAAATACACCTGAGAAGAGCTAGTCTCCATCTATCTGTGCCAACTGTCCAAGCTTCTCTGTTGTCTCCCTCCAAATCCATTGATTTGCTCCAGCTCTGGGCCAGGCCCTGTGCATGTGCATATCACAATGGACATGAGTTGGACCCAGCCCTGAGAACTCCCTGCCCAGCTGTCTGTGGCCACAGACAAGCAGTCTTCAGGCCATGCTTAAGTGCCTCCTATAACCAGAAACCCTTTCCTCCTAGAGCACCCTACAGACCTCATCAGAGAGGGAACCCCAGGCTCATTGTGAACTTGGGGCACTTTACACACCTCCTGCCTTCAGTTTCTCATCTGGTTAATGTGAATATGTAAACATTAATCCAGTCAACACTCAGACACAGAAAAGTGAGAGAAAATCTCCCCAGAAAACCCACCCTGGGGGTGCTGCCACTCTCAATCTTGACCTAACTCCTCTCTGTCCCTGAGTAGGTGTGCCCTCTGGTCAACGAGGTTCTCAGCCACTTAGATGTCACACTGATACATGATATTGCTGGTAAGTATGCTTCCAAGCTATTCCCTCCCTCTGCAGAAGCAGTGATTCCTTCAAGGAGTTTTGGGTCTACACACTGTGGGACCACTACATCCCTCTGGCCTCAAGTTTAGCTGTTTGGAGTTTCTTTGTTCCCCTGAATTTCTACATAGTTTTGAGGCAGACAACTTGCCTCTCCCTCATCCCTGACCTTAAGAGCATCAGAGCTGCATGGTAGAAGGAGAGCCAGCCCCCACCCTGAGCACCTACCTGAGCACTGCTGGGTTTCCAGTGCTCCTCTTCCCTTGCAGGAGTGTGGGCTCTCCCTGGACCCCTTCCTCTCCAGATCATTGCCCTCAATCTGATATTTTCATTTTTCAGACTTACTGATCCATGGGCTCCAATTTGTTATAAAGATCTAGGCCTCCCAGAATGGGAAACTGCCCTGTGCTGAGCTGGTAAGTGCTGTTTCCTGTACCACAGGATGGGGAGGGCTGTTATTCTGGTAGAAGGCAGAAGAGGTTTTGGAGCAAAAACCAGGTAGAGAGGAAAGGTTTATTTTGGCTCAGCCCATGACTGATTGGCCCTACTCTTTTGGTGAGGTAGTACATCATGGTAGGAGCACATGGAGAGCAAAACTACTCCCTCATCAGCCAGAGAGCAAAAGAAGAAAAGCAGGGGCTCGGCCCCACTATCCCCTTCAAGGCCACATCTCCAGGAACCTGAAGACCTCCCACAAAGCCCTATGTCCTAAGGGTTCCACCACCACACAACACTACCTTGAGACCTTTGGAAAACATTTGAGATCCAAATTATAGCAACATCCAGAGAAAGAGACAAAGACTCATATAGACACATACAAGGGTGCACATAGATGTCCACAGAGAGCTGACCAAAGTAGAAAGACACAGGTACCATAGCAACACAGCCATAAAGAAAAACATACATGGCCATGGACACACACATACACATACCCTCACACACACATATACATACCCTCACACACACATACCCTCACACACACATACATGCCAGACAAACATACACATGATGCAGATACAGATGCAGATATTTTCACACCAGCACACTCATGTATGTGTACAAATTCACATAGGTACAGTTACACATTCACTCAAATACAGGCACAAGGACCCCAACTTCAGGCTCCTCTTGTTGCTTTTTGGGGGGGCAGGTATGATGTTGGGCCAGTATTGTAAGGTCAATGATTTCAAGTCTCTCTTCTATACTCTCCTCCGTACAGGACCTTGCTGCTCAGTGCATCCCTCTTGCCTGGCTTCTAGAAGGATGACCCATGTGGTAGCAAGTGGCAAAGCTGCTTTCTCCCCAAGGAACCCTGCTTATCCTCCTTTCTAACCAGCCATGAGAAATTCCTTTGGTCAATACCAAATAAACTTGCTCTTCTTCTGCACTAAAGTCTCATTCTTCACTACCATTTGCAGGCACTGGGCTAGAAAGATCCTTGGCCTGGGTGGTCTGAGCCAGCAACCAGAGCTTTAGAACTTATATCACAGGTCTTAATGGTCTTGACAGGCCAGAGATGTTCAGCTGTGTGTAGATTTCAAACAACTTTCTTGCTCTTCTCAGGAGGATACACAGGGGCCTGGGTAGAGGGAATACTTCAGGCACAGAGGATGACAAAGCTTCTACCGAGAGACACTCTGGAGGTGGGTCAGGAAAAGTGCACATGGGGAGTGGGTCAAGTCCCTGTCTGTTTCACAGGCTGGGGATCCCAAAGTTGACCTGAAATGTGGGGGTTGAATTGATTCTGGCAGGAGGACTGTGCCATGGCTGTGGCTACAGAGTGTGGTGGTGGCACCTGGGAGGCCCTAAAGGAGCCATCCAAGAAGCGGGCAGACACACAGGTCATCTACTACCATCATCTGCTTACTTGGATCTGGTCGTACTGGCCATTTTTTCTATGATCTAAGGGGGAAAAAAGAATAGAAATGACACAAAAGAAAGGTAGAAGGAAGACTATTCTGGTTGAAAGTGTTAACTGCTGAGGGCTTGAGAAAGTCATCAAAAAGGGTCATTGGACTTGTAAATTAAATAACCAGCAATGTCTTGAATTAGAGTTGTATTTATTGCAGGAAAAATTGAATCAACAGTAGACAGGAGCTCAGAAGAAGAAAGGAAACTTTATTGATGTTAGCAAATTCAGAGAAGCTAGCTCTAAAGTCTGAGGTGTTGATTACAGAGAGTTTGTCTTATTTATAGGGTGTCAAACAGAAATTACAATAATGAAATAAGATTTTGCTGAAGGTTATGGTACAATGAGACCTTGCAGTGAGCATAGTTGTAGGCAGCAAAATTGTCCTTTAGCACATTCACAAAAGTTTCAATTTGATGACAAATCATATGGTTTAGCTGAGGTCAATGGCAGAGAACACAATGACTAATTACTGAACAAAATGTCTGCAGTGAGATCAGGATTTCTGCTTCAATATTATTTTGGAGGAAGAAGCCTGATTTTAAGGAAGTAAGGAAAAAAGGAGGAAGCTGAGGCTGTACAGAATTAGGAAAAATTGGATGCAAGAACAGAGAGCTTTGTGATATCTTAACTCACCCTGTCCCACTCTCTCACATCCAGCTCTCTTATGCCAAAGACACCCCATCCCTTTCCCCATAGAGTCTGAAAACCTGAAAATTAAGGGCCAGTGAAGCATACCTATAAGCATAACAAAGGCATAAATGTTGTGTTTGCAACAGGGAAAAAATTCACACACCAGGCACAAGCTGTGTGGGCTGTTTTCCTCCTACTAAAGAAATTTCTCAGGACCAAGGCTCATTCTTCTGTATTCAAGCACAGAGTCAAGAAATGGCATACATTTGGCTGTTTCCCCATACAAGCATAGCTGACCACTAAGCTACCCAAACAGAGAGTACAGAAGCCACGCATGACAAACAGCACAACTTCACAGGATTGGTTCAGAAAAGTCACCAAACAAATAACTGTGATAACCAGTAATAGTACTGGTTATCAATAACAAACTCTGGACTGGCAAAAGAATCCAGTTTCCAAAACTTGCATGTCATATTTTTAAAATATCAAATAGTCAACAAAAAGTTATTAAATATTCAAAGACACAAGACAATAACCTGTCCCTGGAGAATCCCAGATGTTGGATTTACTAGACAAAGCTTTAAACTTACTATTCTACATATATTTTAAAAACGTGTGTCTAAGAAACCATTTATACAAACTAAAGAAATTGTTAGAACAGCATTTCCAAAAAGGAACATCAATAATGTGACAGAAGTTATTAAAAAAGAACAAAATGTAGAATTAAAAATTACAGTGACTGAAATGAGAAAATTCACCAAAAGGGCCAACCAGCACATTTCAGAAAGATGAAAAAGCAATCAGCAAGTGTGAAGGTCAATAAATTGATATTATCCAGTCTGAGGACTGGACAAAGAAAAAAGAAAACAAAGAAAGTGCACATTTTTAAAAGCTTGCCATCAAGAACACTAACTACACATCTTGGTAGCCATAGGAGATGGGAGAAACTATTTGAAAGAAATAACAACTGAAGTTTTTCCAGTTTTTATAAAAACATTATTCCACACATTCAAAAATCTCCAAAGCAAGATAAATCTAAAGAGCCTTGCACTAAGACTCATCACAAAACACTACCAAAAGACAAAGACAAATGCAACCACTCCAGCACTTATAATCAAGACACCTGGAAAACAAAATCTGGGTGAAAAGAAAAAAAGAAGTAGATCTCTGGGAATTAGGAGGGAGCTGACAGGGAAACTAGGAACTCAGAGAGCTGGAGAAATGAAATACAATGCAGAAAAAAAGAACAAAACATTCAGGCAAGGAGCCCTGGCTCCCAAGGAGAAGGACATGTGTCCACATTTGTCATGAACTTTCAGGAGAGGCTTCAGTTCATAAGGTGGCACGAGTTCCTTTTCCAGCTAACTCGACAAAATGAAGTATTAGAGAATAGCAAGACATAATTGTCAGAGGATTAATGAGTCACCTTGGTACACAATCCAGGATGATGCATCCATTGGCAACAATGCTTGTTTTTCTGTGGTGCATTATTGAGTCAGAAAAGGAATCCGGGCTCCTGGAAGGGACATAGGTATCCGTGGACACAAGGTAAGCCCAGACAGGGCTGGTAGCTCCAGGAAGAAACAGGAAGACTGGGCCAGCAGTATTAACTCCAAGTTTATGAGTATTGTAAACTTCATAACAGCACAAAGAAATGTTAGGTGCACTTTTGTTGCTAGCCAAAATCATAGCTGCAGAACTTTTTAAGACTTTAAATAAGTACATACCAGAATACTGAACAGGTCATTTGAGTCAGTATATGCATAGACGAAGCAGCTGCTGTGAACTTTTGACTTCACTATTCTAGTCAAAGAGATGACAGCTGTTGTTCTGCTCACATTGCTCTCCATAGAAATGCTGGTAGTCAAAAATTTGCACCTGACTTCACATTTTGCAGTATGTTATTCAAATAATCATCCACATTAAAACACATGCCCTTAAATTGCACCTACTCCCACAGTTTTGTGAGAGATGGACACATGACATACACATGTTCTCCTAGGCACAGAAGTAAAATAGCTTTCTACAGGTAAAGAGCTGGCCAGAATTTCTGACTTAGAAGAGCCACTCCAGAGATTTCTTTTAGGAAGACAGTCACCTCTGCCAGCACATTTCAGTGACACAGAATGGGTCACAGAACTTGCCTACTTATATGACATATTCAACCTGCTCAACAGACTGAATTTGTCACTGCAGGGGAGAATGACAGTTGTGTTCAAGTTGGCAAAGTGGCCATATCCAAAGCCATTTGAACTATAAGAGTGACGAACAAACACTGGGATTTTTAGTGTTTCAAACATTAATAGAGGCCATCTCTGCTGCCCAGAGGAGGAAGCTGTGCTGCAGAGGCCTACCATGCTGGCAACCTTCTTTCAGCCTGGGGAGCTTCGCCACCCAAAGAGGTGGGTGCCTGCACACCATCCAAGCCCGGGAGAATTTGAGATCCTTGCTCCAGGTGGTTGGGGACCCGCCTGGCTTGCAGCCACACTAGACTGGGCTTGGCGGGTTTTGGCCCTGCCTGGTGGCCTTCTTTTAATCCGGGGGCCTTGCTGCCCAAGGTGGGAGCTACGCTGCCAAAGGAGTCCCAGGAGCCCACGACATAGGAGATGATTTCCAATACGCCCAGGGGAAGCTTTGGAACAACACTTAAAACATGGAAATATAGGAAAATGACAAAACAAACGACCAAAAAGCAATCTCAAACATCCAGCCCATCCCAAGAAAGCCTAGGAGCCATGTACATAGAAGAAAATATGTGCCATATACCTGAAATACCTGAAATAATAGTAACTGAAATAAAGAAGCAACTCTGGGAAGCTTTGAAGGAATTCAAACTAGGTAAAAGAAGAAATGATAAAAATAATGAAAGAGATGCTGAACACATCTAAAGAAGACACAATTAAAAAATTAGAGGAACAAAACAAAAAGATAGAATCCCTGGATGAACAATATAAGAAACAAACAGAGTACATAAAGCAGATTCAAAGAGACATATAGGAAATCAAACACTGACAGAGATTTTGTGATAGCCTGATCCAGCCCCTTCTTCTTCCCAGTTGGTCCATGATCACCTATGTCAGCCTTCAAAGGAGTTTAAACATCACTTCCCACCACAAAAGGCTCTTGAACTGAGAAGGAATGAGCTCACAACCTTTTTGTGAATAATCCAGGTGAACTGACTTTGTCATACTAGAAGAAGATCAACTGCTTGAAACAGAAAATAACAGTGGCTTAAAAGTACTCTTGGGCACCCAGGTTTACAGCAGCATAGTTTTTGTAATAGCTAAATCCTGGAAGCAACCCAAATGCCCATCAGCTGCGGAGTGGATTAAAAAAATGTGGAATGTTTATACAATGGAGTGTTACTCAGCTGTAAATAAGGGTAAACTTGAGGCTTTTGTAGGTAAATGGATGCAACTTGAGAACACATTTATAAGTGAAATAAATCAGACTCACACAGCTAAATATCATATTATCTCCCTAGCGTAAAAAATTGAAAGAGTAAATAAGATCCAAAATGTACACTAGATATTGTGAAAGTTAAAAGGTAAGAAAATGCTCAAAAGAAAGGAACGGCTGGGATAGAAAAAAGGAGAAAAGAAAGACGGGAAAAGATTGTAGGTCTGTTTATATGTTTTTTTCGTGAGAGTAACATAGTTTATAGGTTTTTGTTTTGTTCTGTTCTTATTTTCTCCTTTTCTTCCCCTCCTGTCATCTTCACCAGTTTCCCCAAGTTTAATAATCCTCCTTGCTCTTCAGCTTTGCTTTTAATTTCTTTCTCTTCTATTTCTCTTTTTCCTCCTTATCCCTTTAAATTTTTCTGCTAAGGATAAAATCA